CATACATTTTATTCTTCATTAAGCTAGTAATTTCCACTTCTCTTACATGAGAAAATAGCTCAGGAAAATTGTACCTTTTTAAAGACATAAAGCGGCTCTCAAGGCAATAGTTCTATCATCCCTATTGCTTGCCTATATTCATGTGAGCACATAGTGAAAGCTTACTTCAAGTCAAAGGACATCAGTGCATTTGTCTGTCAAAACAGGTGCTTACTGTGTGAATCCACACCAAGCCTCATACTATGTGGAGGATTCCTGGAAAAGGTTTTCTATTGATATTTAACAAAAGCTGATCTTACAGGTCTTTGATAAAACTAATTGTATGACTAAGTACAGTATAAGGACAATAACTGTATAACAATTATTTTAACTTTATGTTCCACTTAGGAATCAGCACATACACTTCAGAGAAAGATCACACTTAGATGTTCTGACTCCAAGTCCCACAATAATTCTGTACAACACTCAGTCAAATAAAAATCCATTACATACTACAATCCCTTGAACCCATTCTGTTGTGTTAGAGAAAGAAGTTATTTCTGATATACAGTATGAATTAATATGCCATTTGTTAAAAGCAGCTAAATTTTAACTGGCTTCACACTGAAAACGCTTTGAGATTCCTCATATTTAAAGATGACTGGACATACTGGTTGGAATACTTATATAGGAAAAACAATCATGCTAACACAAGTATTTCTCCGGAAAATTATTCTCATAGAATTTTAATATATTGTGTGTTGTACCTTTGCTTATTTATGTATTTATTACCTTTATATACCCATAACCCATGGACTCTCTGAGTATATTACACTATATATACATTTACAGAATCTTATACTGTATGATCTCTGTTGACTCTGAAAGAAAACATTTAAATGAAAATTGATGATCGTGTTTTAATGAGAGCTTACTGCAATGTTGGTTAATGAAAGATTGGTTCATTTATTGCTCTTCTAAGTATTCAAAGTAATGTTTTATACAAAACAAGAATCTGAAATTCAAGTATGACTCTATAGAGTAGATATGTAAAATAATGTGTTTTTACTTTAACCTTCTCAACTAAATTTATTTAAGTGATGAAAGTTATTAAAGTCACTAGGAACTGCAAATGAGAAGGAAGTGCATATTGTACATCTCAGAATTTCTTGTAATTTTGTAGTAATATATTCATCGTGCCCCTGTATTAATATGTCTTTTTATCTCTAGGCATATGGAAATCCTTTGAATTTGTCCCTGCCTTGAATTTTGCCATCTCCACTGGCAAAATGGCTACCATAATGTCAGAAGCACACAATGAATAACGAACTAAGATTTTTTTGTTTATAAATACCAACACACACAATATTTTGCCTATTGTCAGAAGTTAATTTTTTGATTATAGATTCATAAATTTGGAAGGTCCCCAAGAGCCATCAGGTCCAACCACCTGCAGGACTCAAGTCACCCATCCAGTTTTCAACCCAATCCAAACCTGCCTAGCTTCCAAGATCAGGCAAGATCAAGGAGACCCACCCAGTCCCAATGGCAGTACCACCTCAAGTACAGAGAGTATGCTGTTTGTAGAACATCTGTGTTCACCCAGTCTCATGTAGGTAACGGGACAGATCCGGGCCTTTTTTCTGAATGCAAAAGACTACATGCTACAAATAATGAGAAATGGTGTGTTTTAGCATGTTTCCTGCAATTTAGCCCAGTTTGAAATTTCACCGTTTGCAGTAAACATAATACATGATGTAGGAAAAGTCCAAAGTATAATTCTGTTCATTATCCAGCTATGTATGCCTAACATGCCTTGGAGATAGGCCTTATATGATATATTACATGTATGGTAATATTCTTGCTTTAGTCCTAAGTAAAGACTGTAAGAAAAATCACACAATCCAGTATTAGGAACTTTCTTTTGAAAATTCATTGCATTCAGGCAGCTTTTCTAATATGTGTTTGCTGTTAAACAGAAATATTTATCTTAGCTATAAATGTTTTTATCAACTCTGAAATACACCTACAGCATTCTGATGTGCTTCTGAGGGTCTGCCTTATCGCAAGTAATTTTACTCTTCTGTCAAAAGCGCTACTGTATGCCACCGATAACACATAAGTAAAGTCAATCACTTTGATAATAATCTCCATGTTTCTTCTCAAGGGAGCATGTATCAGGGTGGTTAGAAGTGGGGGTAAAGGTGGATTTTATTTTTAAATGCAGGAAAGTAAATAAGGAGCTGAAATCTTTTCTAATGCACATACTACAGAAAATATATGAAGTCATGAAGAACATATCAAAACAAAACCATTTACATTAATATGAGCAACCATCAGTGTAAGAACCTGCATTATCTTAAAATCAGTCATAAATATAATTAACCAGAATATCAGTTTGGATGCAATTTGCAGAGTAGATTGTTTGGCTCACCTTGGTCAAATATCTACACAGAACTATACAAAAAGTGTGTCCCTCTTAGTTCAATTGGACCTCTCAGTGGCTCTATTCTATCAATACAAAAGGGACTTGATGAAGAATCTTCCCCAGGACTGCTTCCTAACTTTGGAAGTTCTTGCCAAGGGGCACCAGGCTAGCTTCACCTCTGTTATTCTTATACTAGCAGATTTTGTTTAAACTTTTGGCATTCAAGCACAAATGAAGATTTATTCATGCACAGAAGTCAAAGCTGCAAGGAAAGCCTTCTTCCTGGAAAATAGGTGCAGAGAGACACTGTCTTGAATGGCTTGGCAGTCAAAGTCTGAAAAATAATAAATTGAAATCCATTCCTGAACTGGACTTTGATCTGGAGAAGAGAAGCTCAAACACCACTAAGGAACCACTCAAGCAGGGGATCTAAGAACCCTGATACACCTTCCACAGGCAGGTCAGAATTATAAATTGCAGCTAAATAAACTGTCATGGAGAAAGAAGATTAAAAATTATTTTCATACAGAAAGAAAAAGAAATTGAGAACATGGTACAGTGGCCAACAAATCTGACGTCAACAGTACTGCAATGTGTGGCCATACAACTTAGAGGTTATGTAAGAATTTACACATCTGAGATCTTGAATCATCCATCAAGTCCACCATCTCATTTCTGGACAATGAAATAATGGGAATAAAACGCAACATGATCCTGTTGTTCCACAGCAGGTTCAATCAACTCTTTTGAAAGCGGGGTTTTCACGTCAGCAAACTGCTGAAGTAAATCTGATGATGCTAGTCATGGGAAGCTCAACATATTCAATTCTGTAACCCTGAATAATGGAAAAGATGCAGGCATGGAGACATATTATCTGTCTTCAAGCCTGGGAACAATGGAGCCAAATAGGCAGAGATGGGCTGACAGGCAGAAAGATGAAATTGAGAACTGAGGCAGTCAAAAAATATTTTTTGGCAGTATCTTGATACCTTCCTTCACATCACAGTCATGCTACATGAGATGTCATTTGCAGATGAAATAAATGTGTTATTTCACTTAAGAAAAATTTGCAAGTTCATATTTGTCTCCAGGAAACAGACAAACCCTATTTCAAAAAACCCTCTTGGTCAAAAAGAAGCCGTACCTGATCCCAAAGGAAAAGCTAGTAGCTGCATCACTCATAAGCTGAGTGCAGCAAAAGATGCTATGCCACATCATGTCCAAACATGCAACTTTCTTGTCCACAGGGAAACAATGGACTTTCTGTGATTTCCTGAACTCTAACAGAATTTGGTGGATAATGATCAAATTCCCCACATGCATATTCAGCATTTTATACATTTGCTTCATATACTTTTATGTGGGACAAAAAGAAGAAGAAGAGGCCCTTTCAAGGCTAAATGGCTTATAATAAAGCAAGAAACATCAGCTTTGCTTCTGAAAAAGAGATTTCCAACTGTACAGCATGAAATGCAAGATCTTGCACGTGAACCACCAGTTGATGGGTTCTAGACCCAAGGATTGAGCCAAATAGAGTACTTCTTTCTGAGAAAGGTTCTATCTCTGGCCAGGAATTTCTTCCTTGGGGTTCTCCAGTAATGGTGCCTACTGAATGCTGAAAACTAAGGGGGTGGTTTGTTGTTGTTGTTGTTAAAAGGACATACCTACCACTTGGTTTTTAGGCATCTAGCAGACAGGAGCACTGAAAAGCCTTGAGGAAGGAAATCCTGGCTAAGTCCTTGGACAGGATGTGCAGAAAGCACAAGCCACTGGGGAGGCTGCAAAGTGCAGCAGAACAGGACTTAGGCTGAAGAAATGTACATGGACACAAACCCCAACCAACTTGTTACAGTAGGGTAATCCCATAAGCTCTGCAACCGAAGAAATTTCTCATCACTTCTCTCAAGTATTATGTATTTTGCCCACACACGCACACACAGACAACAAATGGGTGAAATAGACAAATTCAGCATAGCACTACACACACACACACACACACACACACACACACACTTATCGCCCAGGAGCTTTGTCACAAATTATTTCTGTAAATGTAATCACCAATTGGTGTACATTATATGAAACCATACTTGTTGAACATTATGGATATATTCACAGTGAGCAATTTATGATGAACTTTTATTATACTCTTCTTCTGAGAGTGATATATTCTTTGATATTCTCAGCTTTGCTATTTGTCATGGTCTAGCATGTCAGAGGAGGAGCAGCAGGACGAGGAGGAGGAGGAGAGGTAGCCTAAAGGCTTTCTTTGATGCTAACTCACAATTCACAAGTGGTTGGATAAGAAGAACATTTCAGAGAACCTTAGATTATTGTGATTGCTTCCTAAGGCTTAAGCTATTTGTTTGATTGGCAAAGAAAATTAGAAAAAAACGTGGTTCTATGAATTTCATTATTTTTCTTTCCAATTATATTAAACGTGTTTGCAATTAATTTATGAAGAATTCAATTTCATATGTATTTCAAACATCAGATTATAATGCGACATTTACATTTGACAGCACCAAAGAGCTAGCTAATGGTTACAAAGCAGTGTCATTATCAAAACCAGCACATGCTCATAAATACTAACCACACTGCAGTTACTGTTTGCTGAAATGCACTTCTTGTCATCACACCATTGACAGCCATTTGTATTGGCAGTGCAGCTGGCACAGTCTGCATATCTGTAACATCTGTCATCTGCTGCAGCTATAACACAAATGAAAGACAAAGCAAAGCATCAAGATGAGAGACAAAGGATGTCATGCTTTTAATTCACACAGTTTTAACAGCTGCTAGGAAAAATACCCAGCACTCATTCACTGTAAATATGACCTTCAGTTCAAGATAAAAATGTCTTAACATAAAGCTAAACATAGTACCTATATTTTAGTTATGCCAAACTAAAAATCCTGTATCCAGTATTACAAATCCTGGAAACTATGGACAGTGCAAAAACAAGGGGAAGAACCTTCTCACCTGTGGAATCAGTTCCCCAGGGAAATATGCCTGGCACTAAAACTATATACATTCTGGCGCCAGGCTAAAACTTATTTCTTTGCAGCTTATAGTTAGCCAGACTAAAGGACAATCACAGAAGTTGCCAATTTGTTGGAAATGAAAAAGGCAATTGTTTGTTGTGCATGTTGTGCAACAGGGTGATACCAACTCTTTGGATGAGAATGATGAAGCCTGGCAAGGGAGGCCTGCAGACATAAAAATGACTTATCTAAAGGACGCAGTCTCCAGGTGTTCAGGCAGACTCTGAGAACCAATCAGGTCCAGAAATGCCAGGACGGGGCATCAGATCCATGGTCATCTTTGACACCATGACACAGCACTAGGAGAGAAGATCTAGCCAACTAGATAACCTACATATGGCTAGGAGACTAGCCCATCTCCAGAGGGACACTCCCAGAGAGGCAGTGTCCAGGGTTACTCAAAAGGAGGGTTCTTGGAAATAATTTCTAGTTTGGGTTCAACAAATCACTTTGTGCATCCTCAGAGACTCTTTTTTGGCTGGCTATATCTTGTTGGATTTACAGTGGGAATAAAGAACTTTTACAAATAAGTGTCTGTTGCTTGAAACCGAGCTCTCAACACAGAAGGGTCAAGTATTAAATAGCTCTTTTGCACTGGTGATCAACTGCTCTAGAAATAGCAAAGTAGCCCAGTGAAAAAACATACGGACGAACCCTATAACTAACTCCACATTATTAAATAAGTAAACTAAATTGATTATTTCTAGTAAACAGATTTTTGCAAGTCTATCATCAGCCATATACAAAAACCTAACCATATAAGTTAAGTGTAGATGGTCCTTAAATTTCAATAGAAGCATTCTAGTCTTTAGTCCTCAGAACTATTGCAGGTCTGGATGCAGTACTTCCAAGTATGGTATATTAACTATTATCATAGCTTGATATTTACAAATTAACAAGCTAACCACCAAATTTCTGACCATTCATAACTTACAGGTAATACAGGTAGAAGTAAGTAGCAAAGAAGTAGATGTAAGTTAGAAAGAAGAAGCAGAAAATGGGGGAGGATCCTTCTATCCATATCCTAAGAGCATTCCATTGTGGAATCCTAGCTTTCATTTATTCATACTGATAAAACAGAACTGGACTATGGGGGCTACCTTGCTCCTTCCAGAACCCTGTGGACTGTCATCCTGGTGATGCAATGCTAGCAAGAAGAATAAGTAGTATCCTGCTGAATTTTGGCAGCAAAACTGCTATGGAAGCTTAAACTCAAGAAGCAAGTGAAATATATATTATTTTTAACCCATGTAGTTGTTTACTGCCAAAATACATTGGCAAGGCACTAATTTTTCCTACCCATTCCTGCTAGCATGGAAACAGCGGAGGCCATACCAGAGGATAAGGAGGGGTGTACATAGTCCATGTGCGATGAGTTAGCCACCACTAAACAGAAGAAAGTTATTATTACTAATAATCAAATTCAGGACTTAAAAACTCTAGGACTTTAAAAAACATTGTGCATTACTTTTGTATAAATAAATGAAACCAAAACCACTCACATGAGCTATATGCACAAAATACTGTTAACTTTGTTGACTACTATTTTCTACTGTTTGTTTGTTAATTGGTAAAAGATTTAGAAGTTTGATGTTCCAATAGCTAAGGAGTTTTTCTACATACATCATCCTATCCCTGTGTTAAGATCATAAGAATAGATCTCTCCATATTCCATCTACTCGTGTAAAATAAGTAAGCCTATCACTGACAAAAGAGAGGTGTTCTCTTTGGTTGTACACTGTTGAATCATTTCCCAGAGCATGAAAATCTTGCAGCAATGCTTTTCAATGCTAGGTTAAAACCTTCTAATATAGCCAATTATTTTAAAGCTGTTTCTGTTTAGCAGGTTGAAATGGGGTGAAGCTTCTCAATTTTACTTCTATGCTTAGATTTCATATTCTTTTTATTGTTATTATTGCATGATTTTTGTCTATACTGCACTGAAATCTTTTAGATGAAATTTTGGTCTATATTTTTTAAAGCAAAGACCTGAATATAATAATAATAATTTAATCTGGGGGTACATGCATTCCTGAAGGGACTAAAAATCATCACCACTATTTAAGCTTTAAAAAGGAACATAAACTATGCTATTTGGTTAGATCCAGACTAAGTTCATCAGACTTAGATACCACCAAAATAATGGGAAATGTTGAATATGACAAATATAAACCCATTGGTTTAAATGAGAATGAGGCATAATAAACAGGCTACATTCCTATACATACTTATCTAATAATTTGTCCCACTGAACTCAATGTGACATATCCTGAGCAGAAATGCATACAATTGCACCGCTAATCTAGATCTAACACCTTATTGTCAATGCAGATCCCTGGTCATTATTCTGGCCAAATTGGGATAACAATTCAACAACTGAGAAAAGATTTTATCAATCAATAATAACAAGAAACACCCTCCAAACCAAAAAGGATGGGGCATTCAAGTGTCATCTGTTCATATCCCACTGCCAGACTTAAGTTTATGCAATTGGTCAATACAGCAGATCCTTTCTTGTCACCACTGGTAAACAAAGGTAGCATCTGTTCTATGAATCTGTTCAACTATACTGTACCTTTAAAAATCCAAATAGTATAGACGTAAAATACTACCATGTTTCAGCAACAAATTGGAAAATGAATTCCTATTCTATAAGATTCTCTTCCTGCTGTATTCCAAAAATAAATGAAGGCACTATGTCACTATAGCTCCCCATAAAAAGGTATGGTAGCTATTATCATTAAAACCCTACCCTAGCATAGGACAGAGTGCCCAACGTAATTATGCTTGGGTACTAACCTCTCTTAGGTGGCTAACGCTATGTTAATGATGACAGAATGGTCTATTATGAGTGTGGTCTAAGACCCTATTGTTTTTGATTGGTGCATATCCAATACAATATTCTGAACAGAAAAGGGTCAATCAAAATTTCAGGCTGACAAGTTCACTCCATTCTGCCCACACACATATTCTATTAATATGATAAAGATGGAGGAGGAGGAGATAATGATGACTGTAGGTTCCAATGAGTTTCTACAAGGGTTTTTGTTTTGTTGTTGTTTTTTAAGATAGCTTTTGCTCCCTTGTCGTTTGCTCCAAGGAGATCTAATGCAACATAATTTTATTGATCACTTCTGACATGAAGCTGACCTTATGACAAAGCTAAATATGGTATATATTAAGATTACATAGATAGTATTTTACTAAGTTATGGCATGGAAGAGTCACTTCTAATTTTAATTTAACCTAGGACCTACCTTATTTCAGGCTTCACACACAACGGAATTGACTAAAGCTATTAATTTCAACCTTTCCTTAGTATTAGCTTTACTACAATATCTAAGAAAGCAGAAAACACACTCTGACAGTCACTTAGAAGTAATCAGGAAAGGGCTAAAACTGCCCATATGTCTGCTTCCGTTTCTAGACTGACTAGGGCAGTTTTGTTGATACAGAAATGTAGTAAATATAACAAACACCCAGAACTGTGGGAGGTTGGAAGTTCAGACTAGCCTTTTAATAAAAATGGTATTTTGAAAATTTCTAAAATCGTTATGGTGATTTTACAGCCATGTAATTCACTTTGACAACACAGTTATCAGCTATAGGAACAGCCCCATTCACATCAAAAGGCTGATCAAAACAGGTTCTCTCAGTAGTATAGGGACTATCCCAAGAGATCTATATGTGTGGGTTTGAATCATGCTGAAGGAAGACCAGTGCTTGGGTCAAAATAAAACGAATCTGTATTCATAGCAACATTTAATTTAACACTGGCCTTGTCCAAGCTCAAATAGAAGCAATCATTTTAATCATTTACCAAAGAAAACTATCAGACAGGTCATGAAAGAGTATTAAGTGGCTGCTGCAGGAAAAAAAAAAGACACATGCCCAAACCAAATTTATGTCAAAATTCAACTACTGCCACCACCTCCTTCTTCACTCATGTCATCATATACTCCTATATTAGAAATGCTTTATTACATTCTGATTTCTTGACACATCCATTTCAAACTTGTCTCCTTATCACAAAGACCATGATAGCCTTTCTGTATGCTTTGCCACATTCTTTCCTTGCTCTTTTACTTTTCAAAGTCCTTTCATTTTACTTCACCTTTTAGGCTAACATTCCTATCTCATCCTTTTCCCTGTTATTTGTGAGGTTCTCAATAACTAAAGAAATGTTTTTGTTCTCGTTCAAGAGGTATTTTCTTGTGCCCTGAAGAAGCCCTTACAATATGTCATTCCAACTCATAGCTCTTCTCAAATATACTGCTAGTTTACCAATTACATATACATTACACTGTTCCCCCAGCAACACTTGCTTTTATATCTTTTTACCCATTAAAAAGTACATGCGTCTTAGTAATATAAATATTGATATCAACAGCATTAATAATTCTTGATGTATTTACAGATATAACAGCACTAATTTTCATATCTGTGTTAGCGGAAGAACCATGGATGAACTAGATTTGTTGCAGTGGGAAGGTTATATTTAAGAAGAGAAATTAGACGGTGTTGAATGAAAAAGTACCAATAAATGGGAAAGTGGCAAGAGAAGGGGCAACAAAAGGGGACAATGTCTTCTCCTTACCGACGTGCTCCTTTTAGTTTTAAGTGTTTATCAAACACTTCTCAGTGTCCTCCATCTTTTCAACATTTGCCCAATTCTCCAACTAATCCAGAAAGAGAAATTATTGGATCCCTCCCTTTCTGTATCTTCCTTTCAGAGCACTTACTTCTGTGGTTACTGCAGTTTCCTGATCATTCTAAAACACAGGAAGGTTGCTCTACCTTAATGCTTGAGATGTAAAGGCGTGTGTGTGAGTTGCAAACCAGCAGGGACTGCTCCATTATTCCAAGTACACTAATTTCCCTTCCATTCACTGCTGTGCCTTTAACTTGGCACAAATTTCCATTTTATCTACCAGCCATTAAATTTCCAATTATTTCCCAGTCCAATACACACACATACATACACACACACACACACACACACTCTCAGGTTTTTTAACCCAAGCAAAGTCAGCAGTACCAGCAGAATGAGGTCCCATTCACTTTCATTCACTCATCTGCCTTCCTCCTTGTCAGTTCTTTTTTTCCCCTTTCTTCTTTTACTTTTTAAATAACTGTCAGGAAACTGCACTGACTGCAACAGTGAGTACTATGGAAAGGAACCTCAAAAAGAGAGGAAACCAATGTATATTTGCTCTGGAATAACTGGCAATTTGGGGAAGTGTTGAAATGAAGGAAAGTATTGAGAAGTGTGAGCTCAGTGCAAAAGAGGATTTGGCTGCAAAGTTTTATATTATGTCCCCACCTCATTTTGGTGCATCTTTCTTGCTGCTTTTTTCCCCTTCTTCAGTAGTGCTTTTCAATTGACAGCTTAGCACATGGGTCCTCAAACTACGGTCCTGGGCCCAGATTCGGCCCGCCTCAGAGGTTTTCAACACCCGCTGTCCACCATCCACCTCACCCCCCACGCGGGGAGGTGGCGGCTTGCCCACAAGTTCGTTTTGGACTCACTAGGAGAAAACGATCTCCAAGCGAGCAAGCCGCTGCATTGTGGTGCCCGCCCCTGCCTTGCCTTGCTTCCCCCACCGTGCCCGTGTGCCCCGCCCCCACCTCAGTGCCCACAGGCAAGCGTGCCCTGCCCCTGCTCCCATGCCGACCCGTGCACCCTGCCAGCACCACCTGTCCAGCCTGCGCCCAGCACCAGCACCTTTCAACTGGCCCCCTGGTGAAAAAGTTTGAGGACCCCTGGCTTAGCACCTGGCCCTGGATGGCTGTGCATCTATGCAGTTTCACCTGGTTGGTTTCCTTGTATGCTGAACTCCTGTGTAGGATTCATGCTCGCTAAGCATTCTGTACATATAGATCTTTGACAGCTTCTGCTAAATACGTTTACTTTAACATATATTATGAATCATTATAGATATGAAGAGTTAAGGGAAAATCCACTTACCTATTTTTCTAGGACACTTTTCCCCAAGAATGTTATTAGCATGTCCAGATTCCCATGACACACAGTGATTTTTGTTCCATAAACACCTTAAACCTGGTCCTGCAGCTTTACAGAGTTCTTCATCTCTGAATGCTTCACAGTTTGGAGGTTTGTACACAAGGATGTCATTCAACAGAATGCTTGAAAAGCCACCAAATATATACATAGACCTGTTGAGCAGAACAAAGTAATGTGGCATTTCTACAGGGGTACATGCCATTCAGATTCATGACCATTTCCATGCTTCTATTCCTCTCTATGCATGTCCGTGCATGTGTGCATGTGCATGTGTGTTCACAATTGCTTGGCCTAAACCAGTGTAGTACCTGAGGCTATTAAATGCATATTTAGATGAAGCAATCAGAACCTGGCAGGCATAAGCAGCCTAAAGTCCCAGTGAACTCCATAAAATAAATTTTAAGCAAGTACTTAGATTTTAAATTAAAATAAACACTGTTTCAAATACTTAACTTAGCTGGATTTTACTCATTTGATGTAATACAACAATATTATCCTTAATGATGCTTAAAATTGGATTATCACCATTCTTTCTTTTTGACAATACACTTAGTGTTCATGTATTTACTTATTTTCCATACCACCCGTAGACAAAAGGCTATCTGGGTGGTCCACAAACTTAATAAGAATGCATAACAAGAAGCAAAAACAATATACAACAATCAAACAATAAAGCAAAAGCCCCAAATAAAACAGTGACAAGAAGACCTCAGAAGGACCTCAGAAGATTACCTTAAGGCATCGGTAGGTACCTACAGGACTAGGTGTTCTTTCAGATAACCTGACCCCAAACAGTTTAGGCCTTTAAATGTTAACACTAACACTTTGATTCGGGCCTGGACTTCAATTGGCAACCAGTACAGCTGAAAGAGGACCAGCATGGTATGTTCTTGTGAGCCAAGTCTCCATCAATATCCTTGTTGCCCTATTTTTGAATCAACTGAATTCTCCAGACCTTTTCAAAGACAGCACATGGTTAACTGTGTTACCAGCACATGGTTAACTGTTGCTAGGCTCTGTCTCTCCAGATAGGGTCATAGTTGATATATCAGCCTAAGATGACACAATGCCACTGACTAAAATACTTGGGAATGTAAAAAGGTATTTCATTCACTTAAAGCTTCGCTGATCTGCCTATCTATTTGATATCCATACTAACAGAAAAAACAATTCAGCCATGCTTTCGCATGTAATTCATTGTTTTTACTTATCACAAACTATATCGTTCATCACATAGATTGCCTCTAAACTATTATTATTCTTGGCTATTTTATTTGTTTCTTTAAATTATTTAAGAAAACTTTACTCTGCTATACAAAACAGATAGCTCTGAAAGTAGAATGCAATGCTATTCTTCTTTCCCGGTTATTGTAAAACCATACCACTTCTTTTCAATGGATTTAAAATCATGCCAAATTGCAAAATATAATTTGATTCAGGCCAGGCTATTTTGGAGGCACTGCAGAAACAGATACCTGCAAGGACGACTGTTCTGTTGCTTAGGCCTGGAAGCAAGAGGAAGGGTCAGACCTGGTGCCTGATTGGATCTCTCTTGGTCATCACTTTCTCTCTTTCATCAAGTGAACAACATCGGCAGGGGACTCCTTCAAACCAAAGAGGGATCTGTCTAGTGATACATGAGTTCTCCTTCCTGTTTTCTGCTCCCAACCAACAGTCAGTTCAAAAGATCTGAATGGCCCCCAATTAGCCAGATTTTCTCAGTCTAAAACTAGTGCAACATTGTCATAAGCCGACAACAGCCCAGACAATAATGAACATCAGTTGCAACTAGCAACAATGCCTTGAAGAAAATGTGTTGGAATTAATATATTTCCTTTTGACATTTTTAGAAAACTATATTTACCCATTGCTGACAATTGCGGAGTGACCAAATCTGTTGACATCCCGATGAAGATTAGGTTTAGGAAGAATCTTCCATTCATCACAAGCTAGGAAGACAAGACAAGAAGGGACAGGTTCTTATTACTAATCTTATTATATTAGTATTCCTATTACTAATCTTATTATAATGTAAGGCAACTACAGAGTGACCAAAATCTGTTGACATCCTGAAATAAATTAGGGTTTCAGAAATATTTTATATTAGTCCGATGCTATTACTATAAAATAAAAGAATATATTTTTGTTAAAATTCAGGATATTGGGATTGGAATCATATGAAGTAATTAAAATTGGAATGTATGAGAAATCCATTAGTGGAATGAATATCCAACAGAATTTTTTTACTTGTCCTGCAGATTCTTTTCTGTCAACTCTGTACAGGCACCAATTTGATCCGATCTGAGTTAAGCCAATACATCAACTCCTATTTTTAAAATGGACCACAAGTTTGATAATTTCTTTTTAAACCTAGAAAAATGTGTTCAAAATTTGGGAGTTTACACAAATTGCATATATTTACACAAATGCAAATTACATAAATTGGAGAAGGACAGCCCAGTATTTTGTAGGTCTGAAAGTAGCTATCAAAAAAATTCAAGGCAGCCAAGGTGTAACATTTGCATAAGCATATCACAGTAACGATGACACAAATCTGATTTTTGCAGGTTTTGCATTTTACATAATTTGCACAAATCTAGTTCTTCAAATTTTGTGAATATTACAAGCACTTTTGGCTGTTGGTTTAACATATGCTGAAAATCCATCAAGCACAAATGAAATGAGTTTTACAGGGGTACACATGCTAACTCAGAATTAATATAAACTATGACAAATTAATTAGCATTTCAGTTGTGCTTTCAAGTGTTGAAATTACTTTATTTGCAATATCTCGATTAATCCAGATTATAAACCTGGAAGGTAGGTTAGCATTCATTTTCTCATAGCAAATGTGGATATGAGGTTAAGATCTAAGGTAGCCACTTGATGAGTTTGAAGCAAGAAATGTCCTCAATGGTGAGAGGGATAGTATAGACTGCAGATACAGGAATGCCCACATACAGAAAAGCTGGGTTCCTGATTGAAGCTCTGGCAGAAGACATTCCAGCCATTTTTTTGGCCAGTGACCAAATGTAGATGGCAGGGGCATGACCCCATCCAACAACATTTGCCCATGGAAAACTCCATGAGTGGCTACCTGAGCTAAAATTTCTCAGGAGGTCCCACTCCTAACGTAGTCAACTGGTTACTATTCAGCTTTCTCCACACTGAAAAGAGCTTGATTGCATCAGCTCCATGTTGCACACTGACTCTGAACAGGGATTATGCAGAGATGTCTGAAGCATCTCTCTAAATCAAGATTGGAAAGGTACTGGTAGTCTGGACAGAAGATTACTTTTCTTGGGCTTCCATATAGGCTAGCAGGAATCCTCCCAGTATTAAAGGAGATGCTCTGAAGGTTTCTGTGTCACCACAAAAATATCTGATAAAGTCTAGTCTTTGGTGCTAAAAGAATTCTGATGGAGAATGTTTTGGGTAAGCAGCAACATAATGTCCACAATGCTTGGCTGGGGGTTATCTAGCCATCCCTACCATTCAGAAAGCCACCTGTTTCTTTTCTAAATACATAAACAAAGAACATAGAACTCAAAAAAAAAAAACACTGGCTACAACTGACACTCAATTTACATAAAGATATTCTCAAAGAACATACTTACAGAAATCTCTAAACAGGGATTATATAGAAGGAATAGAGGAAACATATATTATTACCCTGCCCATTTTATTTGTTAGTTTATTTGTTTATAAATAAACAAGTTTTATATACCACGCTTTTCACCAAAATAGCTATCTCGGTGAGTTACAGGATATAATAATATACATAATAAAATAAATAATATTAAATTAACAAGCATCACAACAATCAAGCAACAAAAAAAACACTTCATGATAGTCTCAAATCTTACCAATAAAGGCACAATAAAAGACACAATAGAACTAAAATTTGATAAATACCATAAAAGACAATAAGATGTAAACAATATTTTAAGAGTTAAAATATTGGGTAGATGAAAAGGTCATCACCTGGCACCAAAACGAATAGAGTGAAGGCACCAGGCAAAACTCTTTGGGCAGCTGATTCCAGAGTCAGAGAGCCACTACCAAGGGGGCTCTTGTCCTTGAAGCCACCTTCCTTGCTTCCTTCAGAGAGGGCTCCCTGAGAGAGATTTCTGATGATAAAATCTGATGGTTCCACTTGCTTCTGGCTGACTGTGTCCACAAGTGGTGCTGGGTGATATTTGCATAATATTTGCCATGGGGTTTCAGAGGGCTCTACACTATCCCCCAAGCTGTTCAACATCTATATGAAAGCGCTGGGTTTGGGCTGAGGTGTCAACTGTATGCTGACGATACTCAGTTCTACCTCTCATTCAGAACTAATCTGGGTGAGGCAGTCTCCATCCTGAACCTCTGTCTGGGCTTGATAATGGACTGGATGAGGGTCAATAAAGTGAAGCTCAATTCAGGCAAGATGGAACTACTGTTAGTAGGTGATACATCTGACAGGTTGAAGGGCCATTGCCCTGCTCTGGATGAGGTTGCATTCCCCCTAAAGGGTTCTCAGCTTGAGGATGCTTCTGGACCCTGTGAAAGCTCAGGCAGACTCAGTGACAGGGAGCCCCTCCCTTAAGCTGCAGTGAATTTACCGAATTCGCCCCTACCTGGACAGAGAGAATCTTGCTGCACTTACGCATGCACTGGGAACATCCAGATTAGATTACTGTAATGTGCTCTACATGGGAAAGCCTTTGAAAATGATCCAGTGAATTCAACTTGTTCAAAATCCGGCCATGAGTTTGATAACTGGTACCACCTCATAGGCCCAATTCTTTACAATCTATATTGGTTACTAGTTGTAGCCTGGGCCCAATTCAATGTGCTTGTTTTGTCATATAAAGCTCTAAAAAGCTTAGGATCTTGCTACCTACAAGACTGCCTTCTCCCATATATACCTGCCTGGACACTAAGATCTGGGCAGGAGGTCTTTCTATGGAGCCATCTCTCAAGGAGGTTAGAGAGGACCACTGAGAAGGACCTCCTCAGTGGCTGCCCTCCACTTATGGAATAAGCTCCCCAGAGAAATTCACATGGCGCCAACATTCTCTTTTCCAACCAAAAACATTTCTCAATAACATCAAACATTTCTCAAAAAACATCAATAACAATTTTCACAGCCAATTTTAATATTTATATTAAATGCCCATTTTGGTTATCCCTCCCAGTGGTACTGGTATTTCATCATAAGGATCTATCTATTGTTGTTGCTATATTAACTATTTAGTGTTTTTATTGTATTAGATTGTTTTTATTGTTTTAATGAGTATATTATGTTAAAAATTGCAAGTCACCCAGAGGAGTAGAGGGGTGGCATATAAGTGCAAAATTAAAGTAAGAAAGAGGGCCTGGGTAGGCACTGATTTTTCTTTGTTCTGCACTGGTAAGCACAGATTTATGTACCTCTCCCACTATGAAGAAGAGGTCTTGACCAGCTCCAAGAGCAGAGACACTCCTCAGCTTGGTGCAGGGCTTGTCATTTCAAAGGGGATGGCAAGCCATGCATGAACAGATGCACCCAGCACACCACTCAGTGCTGGCTAGATTAGGTGCTTGCTGTTGTCCTTGCCAATCCCTTTGCTTGAGGAATCCCCATAAAATCAGAAAGAGGTGGCCCTTGGCCTTGTTATTCCTCAAAATCAATGTGCACCCTCTCAGCATCAGTCTTGCTCTCTAAAAGCATGTCTGCCTAATGGTTCAGTACAGAATGTGTATTGATCTTTTAACTAGAATGGACTGACTCAAAACCTACACCGAGACCCCTAATAGGAACTGTTGTGATCCTCAATATTTCACTATCTTGCTGCTAGGCAGTAATAAGTAGCATCAAGGATGCTTGGCAGGCAGGCACTTACTTGAAAGAGCAGCTTAAAAACACATCAGAGAAGTGTCGCTACTGATAATAGTCCAGCAATGAATAGGTACTGATCACATGTGCCAGAACAAGGGAAGGATGATATTAAAACAGGTTAAAAAACTGTAGAAACAATATTTGATCACATTTCAAAGACCTGCAGCTCCAGATGAAGTTCTACTATCTATAATGCAAGGGACTTACATAGAGAATTATATTATTTATTGGAAAATAAAAGTGATGAATAAATATAAATTGAATTTCTATTTCAGGAACATTTTTTTTCATATGAGCCGTATAAGGCAGGTACTTTATCATAGCAGCTTCCCAGCAGGCTCTTTCCATTATGCTATAAATTCAAGTGTATTCAAGTTTGTATAATTCAGTGGATGTCTCAGGTGGCTTACTAAAGTACACAAGGAGATCTCTATGTATAGTGACCAGGACAAATAAACAGCTTCAAATAAAAGCCATGCAGCATTCCTTTCCATTTGATCGGGGTAAGACAGTTCAGCAGCTTTGTTTGTATTCTTTTTTGGGGGGAAGTAGGCTTTAGCATTGAAGAAAAACCATAAAAATCATTATTAAAAGCCAAGTTTAAGATAAGGAATCCTTGCAGCCTCCAGATATAATAATTCTTTCCTTGCTCATGTTATTTGTCAAACTGGCAGGTCTATTCAATGGACTATAGGAAGAAAAAGAAACATGTTTTTTAAAAGCCTTCCGTCTTATCTTCCTTCGCCTTCTCAATAAGTGCTAAACATTGAACAGAGCTCTGTCCTAGAAAAATAGTTCTGCTTAGCTTCAAAATTCCTGGGTAGAGCTTTTCTATGAAGCACATATTCACTTCAAGTACAGCTGTTTTAAAACAGATATACACTTAACACAGTGCAGGATATAATTTCTCTCTTTCTGTGCAACCTGTTTCAGCTTGTCCTTGCCTAGGGCAAACTGCATGGACATTAGGAAAGTGTAAAATATATAATCGTCAAGTCTGTTTCTTAGATTTCTAAATGCAGGCATCTGAAATATAAATGAGTTAGACTGTGTAGTACAGTTTCATTGATCAAAGAGGCTTCTGGACCATCCTGTTGTTCAGAAATTCAAGTAATTGTAAATGATATTTATATAGGATTTGTGCTGGAATGGAACTACATGAGATGCATGCATTACTTTCAGATAAACATGATTCAAGTAATTGAGTTTTGGTAAAAATCATAATAATAAATTAAGCTCCTTCATGCTCAAGTACAACCACTAACATCATTCAGCCTAGACTTAAAATATCTGTTTGTCTTGTGCTTCAGGCCTCTGGATGGCAAGGAAACAAATAAAATATTGAAGTTTTGCACAAGAATGAGAAACTTCTTTTCTAGTCTACTCCATGTCAAATAAATCTTTTGACTTTATTCTGATCATAAAAAGAGCTTTTTTCTCAGCGATACATAAAGCCAGGTCCATCTGAAATAGCATGCAATAAACTTTAGCTACAGGTATAGCTTCTACACCACAACCTACATATAAGAATAGATTCTTTCCAGAAGAATCTTAAAAATCAAACAAGGATAGTTATGTCAATTAGGGTCCTATGCCATTATAATTTTGCTTTTCTGATGAAGCAATAAACAGCTAATTGCTACTGCAGTTTACAGTGGAATTAAATGTATGACTTGCAAGTACTCAAAATACATAAACAATAACCCATTGTAGCTGTTACATTATATTTTGGGAGAGAGAATGTTAATACTCTATTCATAATTACAGACATTTTTTGCCAACAGGTACAACTTGCTCCTGTATTTTTTTCTTATTAAATGGTATCATTTGTAAGAGTGTTATGGTAATATTGATCTTCTTGTTACTTAAAACGCAGTATTAGAGTATTTCATCTCAAAATTGGTTCAGCTGTGACAAATCTATTTTGATAATAGAAAAGTGAACAAACAGTTAATTACAAGTGAAAATAAAGTCAATTTTAAAAGTTTAACTCAAAGAACATCCTTCCTTTCAGTTAGTATAATATAGGTGTCTGAGCAACTGAATTTATATCAAGGAAAGAACAAGTTAGCTTAAAAGCATAGTTAAAGTAACAGCTACTGACACCACAATATAGCTTTGGTTTTGGTCTAGGACAGTGATTCCCAACCTGAGATACATGTACCCCAGGGGTACAAACCAGGACATTTGGGGTAAGATCAAAAAAAAGGAATAATGGTGGGGAAACTATATTAATTACAAACCTTTTGCTAATATGAAGGGTACGGTTTATGGAAATGGGCTGTGAAGAGGTACGCAAGTGGAAAATGGCTGGAAACCACTGGTCTTGGAGTATGATTCTTGGTTTAGATATAAAAGGCTCCACATTCAAATCCAAGACAAGCCTTAAGACTTATGTGTGGAGTACAGCTATCACTACATGCTTCGCATACAGAAAGCCCTAGCCTCTGGTCAGGAATTGGAGTAGTCATCCAAATCATCAGGGGAAATGGCATAAGGTTTTCTACTCCAAAGTATAGACAATAGTGGGCTTGACGAATCAATTATCTGTCTCAATGGTATCTGTTGATTCCATTTATTCCATGTTTAATTTTATTATTATATTTGTATACTTCATCCTCCTATGACGAACTCAGTCTGGTCCTCCTCCTTTCCATTTTATCCTCACAGCAACTGTGTGCGATAGGCTAGACTAGTAAGTAAGTAACTGACCCAAAGGCACCAAGTGAGCTTCATGATCAAGTGGGGACTAGACCTGGATTTTTCTGTTACCACTACACACTGACTCCCATTGGCCATGCAAAGGAATCTAAAGGACAGACCAAATCATTATCAGTCTGAAAATGCCAATTTAGAGAAAGTACAGTAAACATCCTCGTAATACAGCTGTTTGGATCAGCCCATACTAGACTCTGGTAAGTTTGCTTATCTCTGATTCACACATTTCTGTTTTTAAAAGGGAGACATTTTATTCATTTATCAGTAAGTATATCATATATAATGCATAGTGTAGGAACATGATTTTAATCTGTCTGAAGGAACTGTGCAGAAGATTAAACTTGCATCTAATTAATCTTTCCACTATTTTTAAAAAAGAAAGAAATTACATCTGTTCCATTTGTATTATATCAGATTAATTACGCATGCAAAATGAGACTGGAAAAAAATTATAGATAGTATGTTAAGTGTTTTAATTATCTAAGAGCTAAAATATTGTTGCACCGCAGTTTCAGAAATAATGCATACTGCAAATTTTGTTTAAAAAATAAAAATTAGTTATGCAAAGGGACTACTGATACATTCCTGACTGTTTCTACATTATGTGACAAGAAAATTTACCCTTTAGAGATAATCAGTGGAAAGGATTCATGGGACCTACATATTTTCATTCAAGTATACAAATAAAAAATTTACCTATTAAGCAATTTAACATTTCTGTCAAATGAGCAAAGCACTCTGCATTTTGAAGCTGTAATCAAATTCAAAGATATCTGAAATATCAGCAACTCATGCTGGCAGAAGAAGCAACTCAATGCAATGTATGCATGGCAGATGGAACTTACAACTGCAGTGTAATAGTATGCCATTGCTTCATCGTCTCAGGATGAAGACTGGAAAAAATAATTATTTCCCAGTGTACACTGGTGATCTTTTCATTTCAGAAACCAATTCTACAAAGCAACATTGACATATGTAGCGGAAAACCTTTACAGCGCCAGCAATCTTTAAAAATGCCTTCTTCCTATCACACCAAACTGAAATATTACATTGCTGTCCAATAAAATCTCACTATCAATCAATAAGCCTACAACAAATGATATAAACCTATCACAGGAACAGAGGCAGCTGCTGTAAACTGAGTCAGACAATTGGTCTATCTAGCTTATATTGTCCACACTGGCAGGTAGTGTTTCCTGCCCTATCTGGAGATACCAGTTATTGAAATGGTGTCTCCAGGTGCTAATTAGGTGCTCCTGCATTAGAGCTATGGGTCCTCCCTGAAACTTCCTAGCAGGAGCTAATCTGTGAGTCCAGGAACACCTGACAATGATAAGCCCACATAATTTTGTTGTAGTTGTTGTTGTTCTCACAAGCATTATAACCCTACAAGCATTATACATCTAATGTGTTTCTGTTAGCATTATATTGATAAAATAAAGCATGACCTATTGCAAAGAAAAGCAGTTTAAAATTTATTTTTTACACAGTTTACACAATTTTAGCAGTTTAAAATTACTTTTTCAAGACATTTCTTTAGACTAAGATACTGCATGAGCACAGTAACAATTCTTACATAGTGTTCCTTAGTTTCAGACATTAACTCTTACATAGAGTACCTACCAATGTCATAGGCCAAGAAATCAGCAGAAAAACATTTTGCACCATTGCTCAGAGAAGTGTCATTATGAGTGTTCCCACCAAAAATTAACATTGCTCCACTGATCAAGACAGCTGAATGGAGATATCTTGCAAAGCCACTCTCTTTCAAAATTGTCCTGTTAAAAAATTGGAGGGGGGTTGTGTGTGGGAGAAAAAGAGAAAAACTACAGTGGTTAAGAATGTATAGCATCTTGAAAAAGTAAGTGTATTTTTTAAATATGCACAGATATTTCAACATACTGAAATCTACATTTTGTGAAGTTTTGCATTGTGAAATAATCATAGGAAGCTTTGCCATTTTTTAAAACAGTCCTGCTAGTCTTGTATTCAAATTCGTCATTATTGTCTTTTTATCTGGAAATATACCCTATAATTAAGGCATCACCACCACCACCACCATCATTTCTACCCCACCAAGTGGGCAGAGCTTTCTGGGCATTTTATAACAGTTCATAAAACAATCCAATAATTTTTTTAAAAAAACAGCCCAACAAAAAATAAAGAACAGCTTTCAAAGTACAGTGAAGAACAGTCCTATGAAGAAACACCCAGCATGAGCTAACCAAGTTTATCTTTAAAAGGCTTAGCATAAAGTGCCACCTTAATCTGGTGCCAAAAAGATGTCAAGGTTGGACTAGGGAGGCCCAGTGGGAGGTTATTCCACAGATGGGAGATTACCACAAAGTCCTCCATCTTGTTGCTGCCCTCTAAACCTCTCTTGAAGTTGGCATTGAGAGGAAGCCTCAGACATTGAGCATAGTGTAGGTGGAAGTTGGGAGAGGTGTTCCTTTAAGTATTGCAGATCTGAACTGTGTAAAGCTTTACTGATCAAATCCAGAACCCCGAATTGGGCAGAAAACCATACTGGAAGCCAATGCAAGGATGCCAGAACTGGTCTTGATCACCTCATTCTCAATTAAAACATGGACATGGAAGGTTGTATTATGCACTGATCTGGGCATTTAAAAGCAGCATCCTGAAGCCAGGCTGCCAGGGCAATCTTTATCTTGCAGGTACAGGGAAACATGGAACACTGTTAACTCTCTAGGCCACATGCCTTACCTGTCCGGTCTCACCCTAGTGTCATCTATCTCTCTGCCTGCCTCTATACTGATTCTGTCCCCCCCAGTTTCCCCACCTGTTTCCATAGCCTTCCTCCAGTGTATATTCCCAGGGATATACTGCCATATAAACATTTAACACACACAAAGCAAAGGTCAGGTCAGAAAAATAGAAAGGCACCTGCACTCTTACAGCACACCAAAGGGGCAAATGAAAGAGTTGTGCCCCCTTTGGGGTTAACTCACTGTGCAAAAGTAGCCCTCCTGATGCGTCCCTGCAGGTTTTTGTATTGCCAAGGGTCAGGGGACTCCACTTTGCTGCCAGCAAAGATTCCTGGAAAGCTAGGCTGAGGGGGACAGCTTGCAAGTAATTGTTAAGGTGACAAGCAGTCCACTTCCCCAATATTCTCAAAATCTCTGCACTGGTCTCAGGGGTCCCGAGCAGCCAGGCTAAGGTCTTTATACTAAGAAGCACATTGTTTTCATCTCACTTTTCAGGATGTGAAAACTTCTGCCTAACTTTTTCATGGAAGCTTTTATGATACAACCCTTTCCAGTGTGAGCCCAAAACTGCTGCACTGACATCACTCCTGCAGTAACCATAGAGGCAGGTGGGTCCTGGCAACCTTCTGGTTTATATGGACACCAAGACACCACACAACACAGGAGCTGCAGATCTGCTGTCAGCCTGTTTCTGGCTAGCTGGCTGCAAGACTGGGAGCTCTCCTGACCACTGATCTCCGATTGTGTGCTACTATGATGACACTAATACGTTCTAGCAGCCTTAATGGAAGATGATACAAGGCATCTTAAGGGTCCGCTTGCCTGCATTGGTATTTGGGAAAGAAAGTGTTGTGACATTGTTTGTTTGCATAGAATGGGTCCAATGTTGTAACTTCAGTATTAAGAGGTAACAGATGGTGCAGATGGAGACATATATGATTCTGGAGTTAAACATGTAAGAAGCAGCTATTTCAAAATTTGCAATTCCATATATTCACATATAGTCTTAGAAATAAGGTAAGACATACAGCACTACACCCTTCTCCAACCTGGGCTCTCCACATACGAAAGTCTGGAACATAACTTCCAACTAGGCTGACTCCTAGGGAACAGACTAGAGAATGTGGGGGCCTCCAGTTACTGAGTATTCTAAGCAATGATAGCAAAACAAAAGCCATTGAAGCTAGAGTGCACATGTACTCAAGTGCACACAGCCTTTGAGCAAAATATTATATCACACTTGCACATTTCTATAAAGGGCCTTGCCTTAAAATCTGCTCTAAAGGAAAATGCACAGTGTATAAATGCAAATAGTCTATACTTCCCTTCATCTTACCATGTCCTTGTGTTAACTTCATATCGGTAAAGGTCATCAACCAATCCGTATTTATTACCAGGCAATGCTTTGTATCCGCCATGAACATAAATTGATTTCGTTGTATCATCATAGACACTTGTATGGCCATATCCACCTTGTACAATTGCTCCTTTTGTTTCTGGCACAAGCCAAGAACTTGTCCCTTAAAGGAGTAAAAAGGAAATCAAATACAATGTTACATTAATGTCCCAAAGGAAGAGTCCTTCCATCAATAATGGTTTAAAAATAATCATGAACACTGACATTAATTCCTTTCATATTTTAATCTATGCAAACTTAATTATATCTGTTTTCCAAGTATTACAACTTCATAAAATTTCATATTAATGAATCTATAAGGGAAATCAATGGCATTAAGGTGAGTTTTTACCAATGCAACTTGTGCTCTCAACAAATGTTTTTACAAGATAACCGAATTTCTCTTTATATGAATGCTGAGCAAAAATGGAATAGAATTCATTTTGGTCTTCCTGCAGTACTCCCATGTTTTGTGAGAGAAAATACTAGTGTACAGAAGTTCTTGTCTTAGGTTGCAATCCAAAACACATTTACTGGACAGTAAACTCCTTTGCTTGGTCCCATACACTTTCTAGTATGGGGTTCCTCAGGGCTTGGACTTGTCTGCCATGCTATTCACCATGTACACAAAACTACTGAGTGAAATCATCTGGAGTTCTGGGGTGTGTTGTCATCAGTATGCTGATTACATGCAGCTCTAGATCACCTTTTCATCTTCAGCTTTCAGAACTGAAACTCAGTTCTGACAAGGCTGAGTCTCAGATGTCCTTAGGGACACAGAGTTAGCTGGTGGCCTAGCTGAGTGGAGCCTATTTTCAGTAATCTAAGCCCTGGTAATCTCTATGAAAGGTTACTACAATGTGCTCGAAGACAGTTTGGAAGCTGTGACTTATGCAAAATGCAGAAGCCGGACTAATAATCAGGACCAGATGGTCCAAACATATAAATACAATTCTGGCCCACTTGCACTGACTGCCTGTATACTTCTAAGATAAAACCCATGAGCTAGTTTTAATCCTACTTGACTTGTGACTACAATATCTGATGGAAAGCCTTTTCTAATCCCAGTGTACCCAGTCACTACCCTCAGTGTCTGAAGCCTTCATCTAAATTCCAGCTTCAAGGTTGTCTCTGCTAATGGCAACAAGGAGGAGGAGAGCCTACTCTGTGGTTGCTCCTCAAATACGGTGTGATTTTGTCACTAAGACCTGCCTGACACCAACTTAATTATCATTTCTGGCATCAGGTTAAGATCACCAACTATGCTGCGGCATTTACCAATTCCAATTCCAAACAGGACATGGGGATAGGGCGTATTGCCAGCTGATTTTTAGTAAACCAAGTGGTATGAACTGGTTTTGTTTAGTTGTCAAAATGTTAATGTAATTTTAAAATGTTTTCATTTTATTTCATTTTATATTGAATTTTATTGCATTCTTAACTGTTGTTCACTGCTCAGATAACTTTGGCTATAGGGAAGTATATTTATTTATATCAGGTACATGTTTAGGAGCCAACCAGTATGTACAGTTGACTATTTACAATGAGATACCTTGTGATAAATTCTTATATATTGAAATATGCGTTAGAAATAACATTGCCTGCAACGGATAGGCACAAAAACTACCAAGATCCAAGGGTCTACATATTTTAGAGCAGACCCAACATATATTGGCAAGAACTTCTGTTTGTGTTTTATTCGTGAAATGTCTTAAATTCAAATGTTTATACCATACTATGCATTTGCAAGTGTATACAGTTAGTCCATAGTATTTTTGTGTTGCAGATCTTGTGTATGTTTATAACACTAGAATATATTATGTGTTTGAGTTAGTGGCAAAGAAGTTCATCTTTGAAATGTTTGGTTTGTACAAAAATAAACAGGCACTTGGTTGACCTTGTCTCGCATTTGATTTTAAAGTTAGACATAACAGTACCTTAAACTTTAAATAGATTTATCCATTACCCTAAACAAATAATTTGCCATTCTCCTTGCACTATTTTAAATCTAATTTAAGTATATCTATACCATACCAGCATCAACTCCAAACCCTACTTATCAAAACCCTACTCTTGCCATAAAACAAAAGCTTCATTTCATTACTATGGTTGTACTCCTTCAAAGTAGAAGCCCGAAGCAGTTAACATTAACATAAAAAATGCATATAATAATAACCTAATACAAAATATAAAACATAAATATTAAAGTCAATTAATATACGACATACAAAATTCATAAGCAGTACATTCCTACAGTACAATCATTTCAATGAATTCCAAGGAGATCTCTCTCCCTCTTTCTCTGTTTCACACACAATAAGAGTGTTTAGACTAGTGATGTAATCAAACTTTATAATTACTGGCTTGGGAATAAATTTGTTCATTTCATAATGGTTATCTGTATTGATCTGAACAGCTTTTCTTCCAGATGTACTTGTCTGGCTCAGAATGAAAATCAAATTCTGGATATATGCTGCCAGGATTTAGCAGACCAGAGGTCTAAAACCAGCTGCTTTGTATATCAGTGGTGAAAAGTCATTTAAAGTTAAGCCCTTTATTTTTACCGAACCGCTCATTGAATGCTGTGAACCACGCAACTAGCTGGCCTGACAAAGCAGCATCTATTTGGCTCAATTAAGTTGATTTTTCCCCCACAGATGTCTTCTGGTTGTTATGCTTCAACTAGATCTACAACACTTTCTTCTTTTCAGGTGTGTGCTTTGGAAGGGATAGCAATTGAATTTCCAGGTGACTCCCCATATGGCTTGCATTGGAAACTACAATTACCAGGAGGCAATAAGGGACACGCACATGTGGCAACAGTACAGATTGGAGGATAGCTCCTGGGAAACAGAGTTCGTTTTTTGAATTCTCTCCAAAATTGCTTATGATGCTGAGCCAAGTCTGAATCAAACCAAAGGGAGTTCAAACGTTACTAGTTAGAGCGCTATAGCAAATGCATACATTTTAAAGAACCTAGATGTACAGTACTACATACATGTAATGAAACATCATGCTGTTTTTCTGTGCTTATGTTTAAGCATCCCATAGCATGGCTAAGTTAGTGGTTCATTCATGGTTTTGTCAGCACAAATATACATTTCTCTCTGGTACAATGGGAAAGGGGAAATGCACAGTACATTAAACAAAAAAATATGCAGATACAAGAGCTATAAACTACCGCTCTGAAGGTTTTTCTGCTCATTGGCTTTTCCATCAATGCTCTTCAGCTACCTGAACTTTGGCACTGGAAATATTAGCTTGAAGTCAGTTTGAACAAGTGCTAGCTTGTAGACTCTTGTAGAACAGTACCATATATATTAATTTATTCAGAAAAATGGAAAAATGTGAGGATTATTTTCAATCCAAATGAGAAAAATGATGTCGCAACAATAGAGAGTTTAAACAGACAAATGCATGTACCACTTGTTCACATACCATGCTTTTTTTTTTTGTGCACTACAAAAACAGAACCTAGGTGATTCAGGATAAACAAACAGATAAAGTAAACCATTGCAATTTTACATAATTACATATTACACTTCAAGGTTCAAGGTTTATGTGGATTCTCAATCATTAAAGGCATGTTGTGTTTAACTTTTCTAAGAATGGGTAGATTGCTTAGGAGGCATTGACACCCTCAAAAAAACATTCCCTTTGTGCCCCTGCCTTGCCTCCACCACCTTCAGTACTGCCTTGTGCTATTAATTAGTTTGGGTATCCTAAGAACTTGCATTAGACACTTCTTAGGGTGCCAAACATTCTTAAATATGTTTTATTAAGATCTGAAAATATAACAAGCTGCCACTTAAAAGGGATTACCACAGCTGCAGTTAAGATACACAAATAGCAAAGTCTGTCCATTCATGTTATGGATTGCCTAGAGTCTATGGTTAAGAAATAACACCTATAGTATAAATATTCACATATGTTCCCTTTTATAAATTCACAGAGGCATAATTTTATCTATCTGCTGTTTGTACAGACACCCTGGTAGGACAGTCTCCTTTCCCAGTCATTTGCACACAGAGAGATCCTGCAGGCATTAGCCACTGACATCTTCACAAACTGAATGAGTCAGACTCTTGACTCACTGCAGCTATTTGGAGAGTGATGCAAGGTGCAACTGTATTGCCCACTAGGCAGAAGGCTCCCACTACAAAGATTTGAAGGCAAGAGGAGTGACAGAGGCTCTCCACCTCCTGTAAAAACAAAAAAAAGCCAAGCCTTTAGATGGACTTCTGAGTCTGTCTAGACATGTTGCACTTTTAGAGACAGGGATGGATTTTGTGTATCCTGGTCTCTTCTCTCCTCAACCTGTCCACCGGAACACTCCCCTTTGGACCTACTGAAGTCATTCAAAGCTGCTTTTACAACCTCAACACACAGACTCTGATATTTGCTGCAATGGGGTAAGGGAAGAGGTAGGGTTAGGACTGGATCTTGGAGAAGGTGAAACAGTGTCTATGGTTGTGGGCACACAAAAAACCTTTAGGAAGTATATGATTTTCCCTTACAGCAGATTTCAGAACCAGTAACAAATAATGAAAACACTTTTACCCATGGGTTTCCTTAAATATAAATATTGAAAGTTGAACTATACTATTTGCTCACTAATAGAAATAATTTTATCCACTTTTGATGGAATTGCTCTGTAATTATTTTGGGGGAAAGCCATATCCATATAATTATGTTTTCACGTTTGTCTGTAACATGTGATGCACTGTCAGTTTTATGTTGGTATATATGCACAGATACATCCTTGTGGTTGTTGTTAGTCGTGAAGTTGTGTCCAGTCCATCACGACCCCATGGACAACATTCCTCCAGGCCTTCTGCTCTTCCCCTCCACCATCCCCCAGAGTCCACTTAAGCTCACACCAACTGCTTCAGTGACTCCATCTAGTCACCTCATTCTCTGCCGTCCCCTTTTTCTTTTGCCATCTATTGTTCCCAGCATTAGGCTCTTTTCCAGGGAGTCCTTCCTCCTCATTAGGTGGCCAAAGTATTTGAGTTTCATCATGGCCTTCTAAATAGCAGTCAGGGTTGATCTCCCCTAGGACTAACCGGTTTGATCACCTTGCAGTCCAAGGGACTCGCAGAAGTCTCCTCCAGGACCACAATT